ACAAGGACCTACTGTATAGCACAGGGAACTATACTCAATATTTTGTAATAACCTATAAGGGAAAAGAATCTGAAAAAAATAGATATATATGTATGTATAACTGAATCACTTTGCTGTACAGCTGAAACTAACAGAATATTGTAAACTATGCTTCAATTTTTTTAAAAAAGGTGTAAATCTCCACCCATTCACTTCGCCTAAAAACCTGAACTATTTCCGGGTAGAGGCATAACCTGAACCACTTCTCAAGTTGTGGAAAAAGCAAATCCAGAAGTACAGGGACCGCTGGTTAAATTACTTAATCTTTCCATGGATCAAGTGTCCTCCTGGGATAATGATCTCTGTCCTACCCACCCAACTTGGGTGGAATGACAGTAAAATGCAATAATGAGAATAAATGTTCTTTGGAAAAAGATAAAGTGTTATCCACATATGAGGTTCTAGCACTTTTATTAGTAAATGCCTCATGTGTTTCACTCCTTTCACAAAGGACTAGTTTACTTTATTTGTCCTCAAAGTTGAGGGAGGGGCCCCAGTCCTACTTAATAAGAGCTTTCCTTCCCAGCTTGTTTCATAAACTTGGATTACAATCCTTCTTAGCCTTTGTCTTTCCAGACAGAGATACAATTATTTTATTCTTTTCCAGAAGGAAAAGTATTCTATTACAATTTTTGTAGCTGTTTTCCTAAGCCTTTTCTCAGTCTGTTATACCCTTCTGGAAGCACAGAAGCCAAAACGCCTGCAGTGTTACAGGTGCAAAAGTTCTGCTTAGGTGAAGATTTATTCAATATTTGGCAAACATAATCACATGTAAGTAAAAAATCAAACCAAAACAAACCATGTCAAAACCACAATTAGAGAACATCTCACACCCATTAGGATGGCTATTATCAAAAAACCAGCCAACAGCAAATATTGTCAAGAATGTGGAGAAACTGGAACCCTTATGTACTGTTGGTGGGAATGGACCATGGTGCAGTCGCTATGAAAACAGTATTGCAGTTCCTCAAAAAATTAAAAATAGAATTACCTATTGATCTAGCAACTCCATTTCTGGGTATATACCCACAAAGAATTGAAAGCAGCATCTCAAAGAGACATTTATACACCTATGTTCATAGTAGCATTATTCACAATAATCAAAAAGCAGAAGCAACACTAATGTCTAACAAGAGATCAATGGATAGACATAGGGTGGATATACATATAATGGAATATTATTTAACCTTCAAAAGGAAGGAAATTCTGAGACATGCTACAACACAGATGAACAGTGAGGAAGGACATTATGCTAAGTGAAATAAGCCAATCACAAAAAGACAAATACTGTATGATTCCACTTATATGAAGTACGCAGAGCAGTAAAGTTCATAGAGACAGAAAGTAGAATGGTGGTTGCCAAGGGCTGGGGGTTTAGGGAGTTACTGTTTAATAGGTATAGAGTTTTAATTTTATAGAATGAAAAGAGTTTTGGAGATTGGTTGCACAACAATGTGAATGTACTTAACACTATTGAATTGTACACTTGAAAATGGTTAAGAGGAGGACTTCCCTGGTGGCGCAGTGGTTAAGAGTCTGCCTGCCAATGCAGAGGAAACGAGTTCGATCCCTGGTTCGGGAAGACCCCACGTGCCGCAGAGCAACTAAGCCCGTGTGCCACAACTACTGAGCCTGCGTGTTGCAACTACTGAAGCCTGCGCGCCTAGAGCCCGTGCTCCGCAACAAGAGAAGCCACCGCAATGAGAAGCCCGCCCACTGTAACAAAGAGTAGCTCCCACTCGCCACAACTACAGAAAGCCCGCCACAGCAACGAAGATGGAACGCAGCCAAAAGAAAAAAAAAATTGGTTAAGATGATTAAAAAAACACAAAAGCCAACTAAAGTCTAGAGCAGTTAAGTGTCAAGAAAGATTGCGAGAGCGTTACAATCGGCCAGGCAAAAGTCTCCATCAAACTGTACCCACTACCAAGAACATAATTTTTCTGCTGAGAAAAGAAGTCTTCTCTAAATTTGTATCCATGGTTCACAGTGGTTCATCATCAACTTGTTCTGCCAGTAGGGTAACAAGACCCATCTTAGCTGTTATCTCGGAACCTAGGGCGTGACCATGTACTTACAGGTTGTTTTAGGAAGGGCTCAATAAATATTTGTTGAAGGACGGATTGAGGGAAGGAATCATGGTTAAATGTGTAGCTGTGGAGACCCAGATCTAATACAGGTCCTGAGTTTACCATTTCCTAGCTCATCACAGCCTATGCAACTTCTCTAAGCCTCATTTATCTTAAGTATAAACTGAAGAGAGTAATAGTAACCACTTCATAGAGCGACTGTGATGATTAAATGAGTGAATGCTTAGCCTGGTATCTGGGTAGGAAATCAAGGAAGGAAGTAAAGGCAAGGCAAACATGTAGGAAAGAGCTGGGTTGATTGAACCTGGCCGATGACTCTTCACCATTATATCCATGCACTTCCACTAGAAGCCAGTGTTTAATAACTGCTTAATAAATATCTACTGAATGAATTCATTAACTATAGGATAAGGATGAAATTTTGAACTCTTAAAAATACACTGATCAAACAATTCCTTAATTTATTTTAAAGACAAGGGTTGTATATTGAAGAGGTAGATCATGACGGATACTTGCATTCATTTCTGGGAATTGTGTTAGCCTTTTCAGGCCCCTGTGGGTCCATTTCCAGTTTACTGAGGACCTACTAGATTCCCAGCACAGTCCCAGCATCAGGACTACAACATAAATAGAACACTACCCTGCCCTCTAGTTGCTCTCAGTTAAGTGGAAGAGACAGGTATGGAAGCACACGGTGGATTTAGGGTCATACGCTGGAGGCAGGTCCAAGGTGGTGCAAAGGAAAGTTCCCTCCACCCTGCTGGACAGCAGGATCGTTTTGGTAAAGGAAGACCCCCCGAGGGGAAGGCATCTGGATTGGGTCACGAAGAATAGGTAGGGCTTCGCCAGGTGGAATAATGGGGAAAGGGCAGAGGGGATGAGATGTACAAAGGCATGAAATATAGGTGAGGGAGATGAAACCACCAGACACCTTCAAGGAAGTGTAAGTTGTTTCCATGGAGCACAGAGCAAAAGTGAGGGAAAGGGAAATAGCCTTACAGAAATAGGTAGGGACAGATGCCCGGCGCTGATGGGCGCTCATCAGCCTGCAGAGGGGAAGGGCTTCACCGTCTTGGTAAAGGAACCCGGTGGAGGGTTTTAAGCAGCAGAGACCTGATCAGATACTTGCAGGAAATGAAGAATAGGTAGGAGGGGCCAAGACTAGAGGGCACAGGTCACGTGACCAGCCAGTTAGGGAAAAACTGGGAGAGAAGAGAATGGCTTCATTGAAAAGGATGGATATGAGAGCTGTTAAGGGAAGTGAATTCAAAGGTCTTCACTTTACTTGCCCTGTAGGTGAATGAAAACTTAAACCACCAGCCACATACATACTAAAGTCATACCTGCAAGACTTTTCATTTTGGTATGATGCCTGAAAATTCTTGCTTAAGTAATTAAGCGAGAGGGACTTCCCTGGTGGCGCAGTGGTTGAGACTCTGCGCTCCCAATACAGGGGGCCAGGGTTCAATCCCTGCTCAGGGAACTAGATCCCACATGCATGCCGCAACTAAGAGTTCACATGCCACAACTAAGGAGCCCGCCAGCTGCAACTAAGACCCGGCGTAACCAAATAATAAAAATTTAAAAATAAGCAGTTAAGTGAGAGACAACAGACTCTGCAAGTCACCTCCAATAATCATTACCTCTGCTGGCTTTTAGTGCCTTTGTTTCCAGCTGAACCCAAAGAGTTGACTTTTTGGGATTCCAGGGTTTGGTTTCCAGTTGGAAATCAAAGTCCCTATCCCTGTGGATCAAATTCCAGCCTGGAGGGGTTTATCCTCAAAGACCCTAGCCAGAGGAGCTCTGGAAAGAAGCCCAGGGTGCTCTGCTAGCAGGAAGTCTAAAAGCTACTAGCGACGGTCAAGTTCAGCGTGACGGATAAGCCTAGCTGAGCGATTTCCTGAGAGCAAGGAATTGCATCCAGGAATGGAAATGAATGGTGGTGACAACCTGTAAGGGCAAGCTTTTCATATGTCCTAGGTACCCTAGAAGAACTTGACCCTAAGCTTATGGGCAAGACCATAGGGCTGAGCCATTAAAGAAAGTGAGAAGGTGAGAAAGCAAATCAGGTGATACAGAAACTCAGCTGCAACACCAGATGTTGGCAGGCTTTCTAAGTGCTCCAGAATTAACCCAGGTGAGCGAATTCTTCCGAAAAGCATCCTGTCTAGGGTGGTAGCAGTGAATTACTACCAGGAGGATGTGCAGAATACTGTAACTTTCAATTCCCTAACAATCACAAGCTGTGAATAAAGGAATCACCTTAATAATAATGATCATCGATAAGTTTTTTTTTTTTTTTTTTTTTTTAAGGCTTCGGATGCGCAGGCTCAGCGGCCATGGCTCACGGGCCCAGCCGCTCCGCAGCATGTGGGATTTTCCCAGACTGGGGCACGAACCCGTGTCCCCTGCATCGGCAGGCGGACTCTCAACCACTGCGCCACCAGGGAAGCCCCGAAAAGTTCTTTTTGTATCCACCTATGCTCATGTGCAGGGCAGAGAATTACAGTCATAATCTCATACTCTTTGAAACAAATTTGCCCAAATATTTTGAAAAGTTCTGGACCAAGAGTTTTCCAAGGCGCACGATCCAACCCTTGACTTCTACAGTTTCGTGCTTCCTCTCGCCTGCCATCTTCCCATCCTCCCAGCCCACATCCAGCTTCAAAACCTTAAGATCAGAAGAGTCAAGTTGAAACACAAACCAAATGCTTTCTCATTTAATACGAGTACATTTTATAACCTAGGGTGTTGGTTCAGGTACTACCATTATGTGTCAAACCCCCAAAAGTTAACTGACTCTTACTGATAATGCAAGCCAGCAAATCATTTGAGCGAAAGAGACCAACAAGCGACAAACCCAGTGCTCACCCAACTCCACGTCTTGATCATCAGTGAGCACGAGAATGATGTTGGGTCGGATGTTTTTCCGCTCCTGCTGTATCCGGCCTCTGAACCTCGGGGATCTGATGGTTGAACCGAGGCTCCCCAGTAGCTGTGTGCCCAGCACAGCCAAAACCAGAGCACAGCAAGAATACTTCATTGTGCTTGGTCCAATGTCGCAAAACTGACAAAATGTCTGTCTTCTGGTTCCTGCAGCTCTGGGCAGTCAGAGAGAAAGGGAGAGCGAGAGACAAAAATGAAATCCAAACCCCAGACACAGTTGCAGAAAAAGGACTACAACTCAGCGAGAACTGGCACAAAAACTGGCAGAGAAAGGTCTGTCCATGAGTCAGAAGCGGCAAACCCTACCAGGCATCAGGTCGTTTTTTTAAGTGCTTGATTAGTTTGCAAATTCACTTTTGTCCTTTATTCTCATTCCAACTTTTCCGATTTCAAAATTCATTGCCAAAATAGAATTTCCAACACAGAGCTCGGATGTAAAAGCTTTCTGACAAGAGCTAATACCTTGAATTAGGTATCCTGGTTGAATAATCAACTGCTATACTCAGAGGTATTCAGGACATCTGCAGATGGGGTCCTGGAAGGGGGAGAAAAAATACGAAAGGAAACGTCAGTCAAGGATTTTGACAGAGTTTTGGTCTGAAACAGTCTCTTGAAACAGCATAAATATATATGTATAGATATGATTTATATATTATATTTATATATAAGTATAATAAATAGAAATGTAATATATAAATCATATCTATACAAATATATTGATATAATTTTTAAAATCTGTACTCCAAAAGGGAGAGACAGAAGGAAACAACATTCAGAACTGCTAACCAATGACATGAATAATATCTTCATTTCATAATCATAAATATGGTGATCTGGGTATCATCCCTGCTCACACTTTAATAGTACTTTAAACATCCCCAAGAAAACAAATGACTGATAAGGAAGAACCAGCAGTGCCTGTGAAACCACAGTGCACTGGAGCGTTTGCATCTGGGGAGCGTTAACTCACCTGTGTACGATATTGAGTACTTATCAAGCAGAATGAAACGCAAAGCTGTCATATGTCATCTGCATGAAGTCACTCACTGCCCAGGAGAGTTCTTTTTGCTGACAAAGACTTCATAGTGAGGGGCTGGGAGGACAACGTTTCCCAGCCTCCAAAAAGCTCCTAACTGTGCTTCATCAATCACCGGGGGAAGGGATGCTTCCTCCCGGCTGGGCTGGTCCCTCAGCCCAGCCCTCATCCCCAGCGCATCGGCGCCTAAGGGGACACAGCCCTACTCCGACTGTGAGCACCAGCTTCACTACTGTTCAGAGCCGGTGCAGCGCCGCTAGCACCGAGGTTTGGCTTTGCCGCAGCAGATCTCAACCTGCAAAGCAACATGACTGATGGGCTCTGAGGCTGGAGGTTAGAGGCGACCTTTCCACCTTAAAAAAAAACCAAATCAAATCAAATCTGGAGGGGAACACTGTGAAATCTTTGCAAATCTGCACAGGAGACTTTGGAAAGGGTTGGAAAAATGCCCCTTTCACTTTAGAACGCTAACCTGCTGAAAGCTGGTCTCTTGGACTTCCGAAAGATAGCAAAGGGCTCATTAAAAAACCCCAAAAAAACACCATCTTTCTCTTGAATGTCATGAGAAAGGGAGCATCTGTATGGGAACTTTGACTGCCCTAAAATTAATCAGATAGCAGCCGGCTCCAGCAGCCACTCTGTCGCCACACACCTGAGGGTCTGTATTTTGATGCTCAACAATAAACGGGTATCAGAAAAGTAAGCATCACGGATGAAGTGTGAGGACTGCAAAGCAGAAGGAAAGAGACTCCATCGCTTCCTTCCGCGCCTTAAATTCTGGAGGGTGACGTGGGGCAGCGAAAGCAGAATGAAGAAAGACGGTGTACCGTTTCCCCCTGCCATCCACATTATTGTGTTTTACACAAACACACACGCCCCTATTATTTTAAACTTTTTGAGCTGTTTTGTAAACAGTTCTAATGCTTTTTACTTTGCAGCCTGTAATTATTCTTTGGGAGGGAAGAAGGGAGGGGGAGAGAGAGAGAGAGAAGGACTCAGTAAGAACTAGATTTTAAAACAAAAATCCAGCATCTGCAGCGAGGCAGTCCTGACCACGTGATCTGCAGAGCAAAAAGCAAGCCACCTCCGACTGATCCTGTGGCTTGAGAAAGTCAATATGTATGGTTTGGCGTGTGGTTTTGTTTTTTGTTTGGTAATAACTCGGCGTTATTTCAGTGATCGCGGTGCCTTCTGAACGCTGAAAGCCCGCAATTGTTCTGCCTTGACTGTTGGGTTTCTGGGCATTTGTTTTAAATCATGAGAAAACTGATACAAGCATGAAAGGATGGGAAAGCAAAAGAAATGAGTGAAACAATGGCCTTCTCCCACAGAGCGTGCGTTAACCTAAGAGTTAAATACAGAAATTTCTTAGGGGGGGTTGGTCCTTGAAGCAGCAAAACTTTGCCCACCTCTCAAAGCCGGTGAGGTTGTGTGAAGAGAGAGTCCGCAGGGTTTCTTGCATCCGCTATGGTTTAAACTAACCTCTGCTGACAATGGTGACCCAGAAAATACAGTCAGACTCACTGTATGGAGCGAACAGCAGCGCTTGGTTTAAATAATCAGTCACACACGCAACTGAAAATTCTTGACTATCAAGATGCTGGTAACATTCCCTGGAACCCAATCAGTGTTCTGGGTTATTCTTTTCTTTCTCGTATTTACTTTACTTCTTCCTTTAGGAAAAAGAAAATTAGCCTTAATGGTACCTTGTATAAACTACATTGAAAATCATTTCCTAATAAAGAAAAGGGACAGCAGAGAAGATGCACGTTTTACCTATAAAGTAACTTTTCTCTCTGGACAGTTAAAGGTGCAGAAGAGACCTACGTTTATTTTTTTCTGCCACAATTTATTATCGATTCAGGGGATTCATATGTAAAAGCCGAGAAATTGAGTGGTAAAGAAAATGGAACTTTCAGACAGGTTTGGCCAGCAGGAGCGCTCCCTTTACTAAAACACACAAAACACACAACTCTGAAGAAAAGTGCACACAGACAATTCTTTATTCAAATATGACCTTTTAGAACCTGTCATCCTCTCACTGCCTGGTTTCCAGCTCCAGAAGGAAAAGAAGAAAAAAAAACCTGACAGACAAAATGCAGACCTCAACAAAGGAGACAACCATGCAATGTTTGAATTGGATACTTTGTGGCAGACAACAAGTGTCCTTAGAGACTAACAGCTTGTCTTGAGAAATAGTTGAAAATGGGAGAAATGTCAAAAGAGGTTTTTCTCACACATGGAAAGTGAGCTTGAGGAACGGTTGCTGTATTCACGAATCAGGACCAGAACACAAGATGCCTATTCTTCAAGCTCTAAAGTGAAAACACCAATTGTAGCTATGGCCAATTGGTAGGGAAAGTTTACAACACTTTGTTTGGGGCAGTCAAGCCAACTATAAATGTGACATTAAAAGTTTCAAGTCACATATAAAAGAAAGAAAAGACTGGGAAGGCTTCAAGCCAACTGGACAGAAAGTCTAGTTCACATATGCTTGTCCAGCAAAACCCCACACTAAATCAAAGCCCTCATGGCCCCAGTAGGTTTAAGGGGGGGGGGTGTCTCTGTCTTTAATAAGCCTCCCTTTGTCTGGGCAGCTGGTGCCGAGGTAAAGGGGATGGTGGCCATATGCTTGTCCACCACTGTGGTTGTCAAAGTGTAATCTGGGACTTTGGGGGGACCCTGAGATCCTTGTGGGTGGAGTCCACAAGACCAGAACGATTTTGAAGAATACTAACACTATATTTCCCTTTTTCACTTCGTTGACATTTGCACTGATGATCTAAGAGCAATGGTGGGTACAGCTGCTTTTGTATGAATGAAGGGAGCATCACATACGGTTAAAAAAAAAACAGAACAGTTTCACTCAAGATGAAACAGTAAAATGATTAATTTGATTAAACCTTGACCCTTGAATGCACATCTTTTCTTTTAAGTTTTCTGTTTTATGAGAGAGAAGGGACACATAAAACCCTTTGCAGCCTATGGAGGTGTGATGCTCGTTGAGGGAAAGCACTCGTGGGACTGAGCTGCCAGGTGAACTAGACACATCCTTTTTCTCTGTTTTTGCTCACACGCTATTTTTAGTTGAAAGAATTACTTGGACTTGGATTTTTGGCAGACATTTTCTCAAGTCGTGAATGAAATCAGACTGTCATTTCAAGGAAAGCAACTGACGGTATTTGTCGTGTTTGTTGCCAATGACAGAAATCTAGCTTTCAAGTCAAAAGCAGAACTTTGGAAAACTTGTATCTGCCACTGTGAGCTTAGCAGCTTTCCAATATGTAAAACCTTTCTGATGACACTGATGTTGGTATCAACGAATGTCATTTTATGGTACTGTAAAATGAAATGTGTCAACACTTCGACTATTTGCATAATTCAATGAACCAATGTTTCCCAAATGACCAAATACAATGTTACAAAATCATACACGTGTAAAAAAAATTCATTCAAAGTGCAAGATGACCACTGGATTTTAATGTAACAGAGTAGGAAAAGCTCATTCATATGGTTTCAGATTTCTTACTACACCTAACCTTTAGGAATCACCACGTGTCAAATTTTGGTATAGTATCAAAGAAGATCTACAAGTATCTGAAAAAAGCTCTTGAAATACTTCTTTTCCAACTATTTATCCATGTGAGGCTGAACTTTATTCCTATACCTCAACCAAAACAATATATGTCAACAGATTGAATGCAGAAGCAGATATAAGAATCCAGTTCTCTTTTATTCAGATAAATATTAGATTTGCAAAAATGTAAAACATGCCACTTTAGTCACCAATATTTTTTTGGTTTGGAAAATATAGTTATTTTTCATAAAATAGTATATATCATTTAACATATGGATTTATTGTTTCTTAATACATTTTTTTAAACATTTTTTAAATACATTTTTTTAATTATCATTACAAATTTTATTTATTTATTTATTTATTTTTGGCTGCGTTGGGTCTCACAGGCTCTAGAGCGCAGGCTCAGTAGTTGTGGCACACGGGCTTAGGTGCTCTGCGGCATGTGGGATCCTCCCAGACCAGGGCTCGAACCCACGTCCCCTGCCTTGGCAGGCGGATTCCTAACCACTGCGCCACCAGGAAAGCCCCTAATTAATACTTTCAAAAATTCTCAGTTTGAATTTCTAAGTATCAATAGCTAAAATCCCCATAAACACAAGCTTAATAATATAAAAGGATAAAAACACAATTTCAATAATATAAAGGGATTCCAAGCCCAAAGAATTTGAGAATTACTGGCCTAGAGTATATTTGGTTCCATAGTCAAGCCCGGCCTTTCACCTCTAAGGCTACAGATTTGGCCCTAGTCACAAACGTAATTCATTTTTTTTCCCCTTAAAGCCTTGAAACTGTCCTAAGTTCTAAATGCCTGCAAATCTAATGAGTGATGACATGCTGTGATGACATTCTGTGTGTGTGTGTGTGTGTGTGTGTGTGTGTGTGTGTGTGTGTGTGT